CCCCAAAACCCCAAAACCCCAAAACCCCAAAACCCCAAAACCCCAAAACCCCTTCTATTATTATTATCGTGGAATAAATTATAATATTATAATTAAACATGTTTACAAGCAGAAGCGCTTTTAGACTCCAGAATAGAACTGCATCTATGATGAATAATGCGAGAGGTTTCCATACTGCATCGGCTTTGAGAAGCAGTGCTATGAGCCCAGCCTTGATGAGACAAAGTCAGAGGTATTATCGTCAAATGCATAACTTGCATGAGATCAGTTGGACCACTCAGCTAGAGTTACAAAGCAGAACTTCTAAATATTTAGAGAAAACAGACAGAGTCTACCTCCCATCAAAGACCGTTGAGTTCGACAGAAATGGAGAACTGCTGTTGTACTCTTGAGACAATGTCAGACACAGCCAGGTCTATTTCAAATACCCTTACTGAATGTACGACTGCTTCGTGCCAATCGCCTGGTACCTGTACTTCGTGAACCCATTCATGTGGAAGTGGCAAATTATTTGCAGTATTTTCTACTTGACAAACTCTCTGGCCTGGATGCCTCATGTGCTTTACTGGAAGGCTCTCGATAGGAAAATTCACAAATTCTACTTGTTGAGAGGAGGCAAGTACGTCAAAATATTCAACATGAACCCAAGCGGAGACACCTTCTTCTCCTGGGCGACCATCAACGAGTTCCACTTGCTCACGGAAGACTACGAAGACTTCGCCGACAAAGACGAGACTGAGTTCTTGAACAAAGACGGTTCTTTGCAGTACGAAGTGCAAGTGCAGCTTGAAAACTATGTGGACCACTATGTGACTGTACAAGACGAAATCATTTACTTCATGAAGCAGGGAACTGTGCACCAGCCAGAAATATTCGAAATGGTTTTGAGGGGATACAACATCGAGACCAGCAACTTCGTCATCAACACCGAGAATAATGTGAGATATATGGAACCTCATCATAATCAATAAATTAAGTCTCAATCTATTTTACAAATCTAGGGGTTTTGGGGTTTTGGGGTTTTGGGGTTTTGGGGTTTTGGGGTTTTGGGG